AGTTTTTTAGTGGCATAAATGGCATAGCTAGTTTCTAATAATAAATGTATCTATCGTTGTATAATACATGCACGTATCACTCCGATATTCGAAATACGTCATTTATATTTTTTTATCAAGTAACCCGCTAAACTAGTTGTTCTGTAGTCTTGGAAGGTTTTTTATGCAATATAAAAATAATTCCGCACCACTTGTTATTTAATGAGAACGCCAATACTTATTTAATTGTCTGAAAAATAATTCGTTGAAATCTTTAAAATACTAGGTAACGTAACTAATTAATTATTAATGAAAAATAGCAAGATAATATTAAATATAATTATAACACATAAAATTAGCTACTTGTAGTGGTATTTTTAGCTATGTTCGGACATTGTTGTTGTCCCTCCAACCGCGTAAGTTTCTGGGGACTGGAGAGACGCTTCGACGTCGGGAGGTAAGCGTGCCTACAGCTCCGCTACGAAAGAGGAGATTTGGTAGTGGACTTTAGAGTCAACGGCGCAACGGGAAGTGACCGTGTCTACAGCTCTGGTACCTGTCTGGAAAATAGGGAAGGTGCTGTACGTGCCTTTGAGAACGGTATTAAGGCTTTTGCACTAGAGGAACACGAGTTAGTGCTGCATGTACTGTGTTGGTGCCCTAAATACAAATGGGAAAAAAATCCCATACATTACCAGGTGATGACAAACGGGATAAAAAAATCCCACTTGTTGCCAGTGGTGATTTCTACAGGCGACAAATGGAAAAAAAATCCCATGTTACCAGGTGGTGAGAAACGGGATAAAAAACCCCAGTAGTTGCCAGTAGTAAAAAAACAAATGGAATCAAAATCCCAATTAATGTTTGTTTATTGTCTCCATCGAAAGGGAATAAAATAAAATTCGAGTTTAATGATAAAAGTAAGTAAGGATAAATCAGTGGGAATAAAGCCTGTGGTGACAACTGGGAATATACGGTGTTAAACGACACGCCTGTCCATAGCAGTGCCACTCAGAGCCTTGAATTGCAAAGGTCTGAGGGACACTGTTACTCAGCCTGTCACTATGAGATATAAATTGACAAGTCTCATTGTATTTGTAATTTTATCGGCACCGTTACCCTTCAAAACCGTAACGCTGCAATGCTGCTTGCCGGCAGAAATAGGTAAGGTAAGGCAAGTACTTCCTTAGACGCCCTCTTTCACAAGGAGTTCTACAGCTGCTGTGTTGGAAAGATAAGCCAATATAGGCACTACCTTACCGTGTCTATCTGTCACCAGTGGGCGCTATGATGAGGAGATTCTTTCCGTTCACACCTATAAGGAGAAGTACTGCTACTAAACATTTACAAATGTCCTTAAGAATTATTATAGGTAAATGACGCCAAGGGATTTGAGCCATCGACATCTCGATTGAGAAGCCACCGTTTTCTCACTACCACCGCAGTCCGCCTACCTTATCATAACAACGTAATCGACATTTTTAGCGAAAATGTGTTATTAACATATCTAGGTTAAGCAAAACGAGACCCCCTCTAATCGTTTTTTTTTTTTATATATTATTTAGTTTCAAGTTTTATTCTTAAATAAAATCAGCGTAACTAACATTTTTTTACTAGCAAAAAAAAATTGAGGTGCGAATAGGTATGTTGAAAGTTACCGAAATGCAAATGCTTTAGTTATGAATGACGCTTAACGGTGATTGCAGAATATTTACGATAAGGGTCATTTACATTATCGCAGAACGGAATGGAGCGAATTTTTGTTAGCATACCTAATGAACTCTTTTTCAATTGTGTAACGCAGAATCTAGATTCGAGCCAAAAAAACAGGGGCCCCACTCTCGAAGCACGAAATCCATAATTACTGCCGTTTTCCCGTTATGGCTGATCTACAGACTTGAGTTTCGATCGGGGCTAGAACTAAGAATGTATGGCAACGCGATTTGATAGTTTCTAACGGGCCCTTTGATAGTTTTAATAGTCGCGTATGTGATCCATAGTGGGAAAACGGCTGTATTTACGAATTTCGTACTTCGAGAGTAGGGCGTCAGGTCGCGCGTCTTCCGGAGAATTCTCGCTCAGTCTCGGGAATTCCCGCAGTTACCGTATTGTAAGTGGTTTGTACGTTACACAATTTTAGAAATCTCACATCCATTCCGTTCCGCAGCATTGTAAATTGAGTCCAATTGTCTCCGGTAAACAAACATTAATGTTCTTTTTGAAAGATATCGGTTTTTTAATAGTGGATTTACAGCATCGCTTTCAAAGTCACTACTGCTACAATTTCAAATATGTCATTTACCCGATCGACATTTTTTCGCCATAACAATTCACTATTTTAAAATGATACTGAACATACAACAAAGCGTGGCCGCAAACTGAAGCATATAGGGTACATATACAACCTTTCAAAAAGACATCATAGTCGGTCTTGGTCACGGGCACTGACCTACCAACAAATGGACGTCGCGTCTAATGCAAAAATGTCGGAAAAAATGCCCGAAGTGAAAAAACGTGACATGTAACGAAATTCATAAAAATTAAAACATTAAATTTAAATTGTAACGTCATTGTAGTACTGCCTAATTTTGCTTGCAACAATTTAAGGGCCCAAAAAGAAACTTAACAAAATGCGCCATATTTATCATCGCCTGAAAATTACTTGAACGCAAGAGTAATGGAGCAGCCTTTATTGTAAATATTAATTAATTTTTATATGTATTATAATGTCGAATTTTGTACAAATTCACTTTAAAACATTATAAAAAATTTGGCAGATACATACATACAAATATTAAAAATGTGAAAATAAGCGTGTACTATAAGAAATGCATCGATATTCCAACTAAACGTCCGTAATTCCGAAAACCGAATTATAATAAAACTGACGCTTTCAAGTAATTTTGATGCTTTTCACAAAGACAAAATTAGCTTTTGTTTTGTAACGTTTCTAAAAAGACACATTTGACATAATGAAAATTCGACCTAACGTTATTTGGGGCTAATGTATTTTGTTATATGTATTATTATGTCGTGACACTTCTGATAGGTAATCCCAAGCCGTAAAACGAATACAACAATATTTTGATATTTATTGCTAACGTATGGAAAATACTGTGATGTGCTGGGTTGTGTTTGGGAATTTTTGTTATTACCGCTAACTTCATGGCATGTTTCGATCCATTTACAGGATTGGAGTAATGCTTCTATAATAAAAAATCATTCATTTTAAAAATAAGATCAAAATCAAAGCGATTCTATAGTTTCTTTGTTGAATCGTTTGTGGTTCGAACAGTTGTAAATGACCAAGAAGATTATATAAGCTTCTTGAAATTGACGTAATGGGTCTCTTTCCATCTTTTGCGCATGCAATGTGTAGAAAAACGACTGTTGGTAATAAGATTATTTTGTTTGCTTTACACATTATATTTATATTGTAATATTTATTATATTTACGATTCATTTATTACATAAATTAAATACTATGCAACTGTACAAAATAACACTTTTAAATGATAACTATGATAACACAATATATTTATTTAGTGAAAATATGATACAAAATCCGGTTTTTACACTTTAATGCAGTAATTTTTACAAGTTATTAATTATTGACAACAGCGCTGTCAGTCGAACACACGAAGACTGTTGTGCGATTGACGCTCTGTATGCGATTTTGACGCCCTATAAGTGCGGACACCTTTTAGCGCGAACCCGATGTCCATTTGTTTGTAGGTCAATGGTCACGGGATAAATTTTGAAAGGTGATCGTAAGTACTGTAGTTTAATAATAACGCACACACGCACTAATAATAACGCAAGCACTCATAGCCCCGCATTAGGGAAACCCTGTGTCGAGGCTGTCATAGACACACACATAGACAACCACAAATTACACCCAAACTCACGAGAAAAATAAACATGGGCTATACAAATATTATATTTCTCCTGGCCCGCGAATTGAACTTGAGACCTCTGAGTGACATAATAGCATGGTAACCGTTCGGCCACGACAGTGTAATGAAAACACCAGGAATACGAAATGAAAACGTGTCAGGAAACTTTATGAATCATGGAAAATGTCAATTGTTTCATGTACTTTGGTCAAGTCGGTATGAAACTTTTTTATTTAAATTTGGTACGTAAAGTTAATACAGTTACGTACGTTGCTTCATTACATAATTGTATTCACCTTTTAAAATTGGTTATGTGACCAACAAAACACCTAAAAATAGTATGGGTAGTAGAAAAATAGATTGATTATTTCAATATTATAAAAATTGTAAATAGACCAAATTTATTGAAACTAATAATTACTAAGAAATGGAATTACACATAAGAATGAATTTCATAGAAAGGGTGCTATTACTAATAATGTTAATATTGTTCACGGAATAACAAACTGATATTGTTAATGTTTGTTTAAAACAAAACCCTTTGAAATGCTTAGATCAGTTTTGTTTTGTGATAAATTTAGTGATTCAGTTTACTTACCTTAACCTACATGCATATGTTTTTACTCACAAACGGTCGAGAATTTAAATTACGTAAAGGGAAAAGCATACTTCTGAAATTTGTTAACTAAGAAAAAAACAGTTACCTGTTCACAGACAGCTTTGAAATGCAAATATGCGTGTAGTTTAGTTAACAAATAACATACTCATCAGTACACCAGCTGTTTATACGTGACCTATGTAATATCATTAATTAAAAAAGGTAAGGTACCACCTTATACTGATTGCACCTACAATTCTAAAAGGAATGGATTATAACAGGAAGTGTAACAGTGCACGAAACCGGCGTGCCAGAAGTTATTCAATCAAAAATATTTATACACCATCTGTTGTGGATAGTGCCAGAAAACACGTCACAGGGAGTACCTTACCCAATAAATAAAAGATGTGATGTGCAGATGAAAAAGCCGGGTCCTGCCCGTGTTGCCGGCACCACTGTTCGCACAAAAATAATTTTGTTTATCCGAACGTGCGAGTGAATACGTTAAAAATAAAACAAACACTAACCACTGAGTGCTGCTACATATTCCCTCCAGTTCCGTCTGATGCTCATGGCTGATTCTCGTACGGACTTTTGAAATAAACATTTATGCTTTGTAATTGGAATTTCAGTACATGTGGGCGATACACTGTGTCGAGTGTATGAGTACTGGAAATGACCACGCGTTGTCGTTGGGCTCTAATGTTATCCAGCCACGTGTTGACCGCGTTTCACCGTAAACGTGAATGGACTGAGGTTAAACGAAATTGTATAGACAGTGTTTCCAATTGTTGACAGTTTCAGTTGACAGCGAGCGAGTACGCGACCGTTGCGGGGCGCCGCCGGCATGCTTCTGTTCGTACGCCACTCTAGATAACACTGTAGTTTTTACTCGCGCATATTGTTTAGTGATTTATCATTCAAAGTCGAGCTCGTCTGATGTCACGCGCGATTCGTTTCACGCAGTTCCTTTTCATAAGCTCTATCATCTTTGTCCACATTACTGTAAGTAACATTCAGGGTTATTACGAATTTAAGCGAAGTACTAACCACAGCTTACAAATGTATGTTCGAAGGAGCGGCCTTCATAAAACACTCACACGTGGTTTTATAGCGAATCGTGTGCATTTTATTTCCTTGAGTTGTGGGCACAAGTCAGTGATATTTCACGGCTTCGTAGACGGTAGTCTGCATTAATTGCTGCACACGTCGCGGAATAATGCATTTAATTATCTCTACGAGCAACCTTTACTTGTTGTGTGTCACGATAAACGTTGTTTGCCTACTAGTTACTAGTAATGCATGTTCTTGACAATGACAGAGGTAGCGGATAACCTTCTACTCACTCACCTATCACATAAGTAGACTATTGCTAATCATCTTACTATGTACCATTAACTAGTGCTCTTCTGTCGTTGTCGACAAGTATAATAACAACGACATTAATCAGATATATTGTGCAGGCGTAACATTTATTTTATCATTAAGTCACTGTAGTCATAGACACACCATTAAAACTGAGAGGATGGAAAAAATGCAAGTTTTTTTGTTTCCGTCTTTGTGTAGTATAATGAGTATAATGCCAACATAGTAATCTGACACAATTGACAACAGTGATGCGATTCAGTTGTTGCCTATCTATCATTGTAATCGACTATAAAACAGTTTGTGTTAATAGTTCATTATATTATCTACAGAAGTTGTAGCAAAAACGTTAGGATATCCTAACTGTAACTTATACTATAATATTAATTTGAAGATATTTATGAGCCGTTGATTTACAAATAACTCATGAACAACATAAACAGATCAAGATAAAACCCTGCAATCCATAAACAATGCTATTTCATGAAGTTGTCAGTATTAAGTACTATTAAATTACAAGTATTTATGTAAATTTAGGGATTGAACTCAGATTACAAAACATAGGCAGATGGAGCATACGCAACAAACGATGTGAACTGTAGGCTTGTATAGTTCATGAACTACGAACTGTTCGGAATGTATTCCCGACACTGACCGACATGAACTAGTTCGCCTTAGACGGATTTAATAGTTCATCGTTCTTTTTAGTTTAGTACGAACTAGGTACCGTCTACGTTGATAGTTCACCTGTCTTTTGTTACACGGGAGAAACGATGCGAGCGGGACAAATAGCGATCTTTGACTACTTTTAGTACAAGTTCGAGTGGGATGCACGATTGAACGTTGCCAGCTCGTTCTAAGTCTCTAATACGTATCTACATTATGTATATATACAAGTTTGCAAAAAGTAATATTTTTTGGTAGGTATCGGTATATTCCATATTATTATTTTTTTGTTTTTGGGAACAACTTTTACAATGTTTAAAGAGACAAAATGACATTTTTAAACATAAAATAACTAATTCACTCGTGACGTGTAAACAATGCGACGCTGTGCTTAGTACTGACCCGAGTTTGTATTCACTTTTGAATTTGTATTTGCTTTGGTGGCTTCACTTTCGTGTTCTGCGCGCTCCATCTGCCAAGTTTGAAATTCATAAAAAAAATGTTTTAGAAAATAACACCCATGTGTTCAAAGTAATTCACTGGCGCAATTTTTTTCTTGTGTGTACATTGGTATCTAAATTATAGTTCAATAGTAGCGGGAATCAAATCAATGGAGTATGAAAAGTAGCAAAGAGCTTCATCTGCTAATCGTGTAAGTTGAAATGGTTTGATGTACGCAGAAGCTGTATAATAACTTTAAGTAAGTATTTAGTTCTTGTTTCACTATTGTTTTAAATCTCGTAAAGGCAATTTGGAATATCTTTATCCAGAGTTTCAGGCTCAACTCACTGTCCTGTTTTTCAACTACAACGCATGACGACCCTCGCATTAGCACCCCCGGATCAGTGTGGTCGGCATCTGACGCGTCACTGCGCGTAAGTAACGCACGGCGACGCGCGATTCCATATTTGCATAACACAAATTTGTACCTTAATAATGGGAAAATAGAGAAGAATATGCTATAGGCGAAAAACATGACGCGTCGCGACGCTTCGACTCTGCGCCAGTATGAGTTGAGCCTTAGTGGGCATTTAATCGACACGAATTTCATCGCGCTCACCCCGCGCGGCCGCCGAGCGGAGTCCGCGTTTCTGTCGCGCAGCGACCGCGTGCGTCAGTCTTGGCTAAATACGCTCTATTTATTCAGCTTTTACGTTTTAACTTAAATGAGGCCACGGCCCGCGCGGTTGTATTACTCAGAGGAATTTAAATTTTGTTGCCTAGTAAATGGAATTCAGATTCGCGATTAATGTAGGGACAACGGCACACCAGACTACACATTTTTGTTCGAAAAGCGACTCCAGTGCAACGGAACAAGATAAATCAATGTTTAACTTGATGTGCTGGCGTGTGTACATGAAGGCGTGGTAACTGGGCGTCCGAGTGAAAACTTTCTTCTTGTGTAACTGGGCGGTTAATAGTAGCGTTTACTTTGCCCCTGAAATAAATTTGTAGCTTTATTAAGACGACTGATAAGAACAGCCAGTTTATTTTTATTCCTCCGTGACCTCAGTGGCCGAACGGTTACCATGCTGGTCTGCCACACAGAGATTCCGGGTTCGATTCCAGGGCCGGGAGAAATATTTGTATGGCCTTCATTTATTTCGCTCGAGAGTTTGGGTGTAATTTGTGGTTATGCACAGACCCTGCGATACAGGGTTTTTTCTAGCGCAGGGCTAAAAGTGTGTGCGTTACGAGACAAAATTATTACTATAAAAATGTGCACATGTTAAGAATTTTTTCTTAAAGTAATGAAATGGGTTATTGCAAGAATAACACGAAAAAATTATTAAATTATAATATAAAATAAAATAGCGGCGTACTTATTTTTACAACTTAAAAAAAAACTTACCAGAATCACCAGAATGATACTTCCCGTGAGCCTAGTTTTAAAGAAAGCTTACTTCCAAGATTTGGATATTTGGAAAGTACAATAATAATTATTCTTGACTCAAAAAAGCTATGTTCAGCACACTCAAGTCTACTCTATCAGAAAGAAGATGTATGAAATCCGTGAAGTGGTGAACAGGCTGATCCCAGACTCCATCGCCGAGGACATTGAGAAGGCGTACTACGGTATCAACCCGCTTAGAGCCGTGTTCGTGATGTGACCAACTCTGAGTTCCTTGAAGTGGTGAACAGACTGATCCCAGACTCTATCGCCGAGGACATTGAGAAGGCGTACTACGGTATCAATCCGCTTAGAGACGTGTGCATTAGGAAGGTACTGAAGAGACCTGGTTTCGGTTTCTAAGCTTATGATCTTAAAGCTAATACAATATCTTAAAAACCAGGCCCCTAAGTGTTGTTTTCCAATCGAAGCGTAGCTGTCTTTTTTATTTTCCTTATTCTTTATTATTTTTCTTTTTTATACTTTTAATTTGCTGTAAATTTTGAAATTCAAAACTTTCAGCAAATTGCCAAATTAAGAATAAAAAATGTACCAGGCTATGTCACTAAAAAAATAAAGGGTCAACAACTTAAGAATAAAGTTTTAATATATTTATTCTAAAAATTCACATTCTGATGTACTACTAAAAAGTAGTGCACGTATTGAGTACAGTGATCCAACCTTGTGTTTAATTACTATAAGAGCGGTTACACACGGCGACTTAAACGCAGCGATGCAAACGCCATACAAACGCGATGCCGCCGTAGCGATGTAGTTGCTAATCGTCTACCTTTACACAGACGCGTGACTTTAAACGGCGATGCGCTCGGAATCGCGCGCTTGTATCGATGGAGTCGCGCGTTTGCATCGATGCAATCGCCTATAAATCGTTGTTAATAGTCACGCGTCTGTGTAAAGGTAGACGATTAGCAACTGCATCGCTACGGCGGCATCGCGTTTCACGAATGCGCATTTGCATCGCTGCTAATCCACTCTAATAGTGGTATTTAACTAAACGTGGAGGTAAAGAATATTTCATTCATTCATTCACTCGTTCGTTACAGTGTCATCTGAAAGCCGCCTAGCATACCAATCCGACTATAAATGAAGCCGTAATAAGGGTAGACGCCGACCGCAAAGTAAGGTAGTTGGATACGTTTGTCCTTAAAGCTGTCAACTGCCACTTGCCAGTCAATGTCAAGTCATGAAATGTGAAACCGCTCTAAATATCGGAAGAACAAAAGGTCAAACTACGGTAAGAAATCCTGTAACTATTGATAATCAGTCATTTAGTCTTAGAGCATAAATTAATTGCAACAGATCTACTGACTGAATGCTACGATCAGCTCATAAACGAAACTATTTACTTATTCAATAGTCAATTAATTTCACATTTTTCCAGCTTATTTAGTGGTCCATAGTTTTGAGTAGGTGCCTCCTCGTGACGGAGGGTCGTTGTCTCAATACATGATCTACATCTACGTGGTGATCATACGTCAAACGTGATTTTATCACATAAAAGTCATAAAATAATACCAACTAAGTACATGAAACAATTATTTATAATAATATGTGAAATTTTATAACGTTAGCGATTATTTTCGTTCGTAGAATCTTTCGGGTCTTATTATGGGTGCGATATGTGGCTGTGAAAAGGATTAAATCAGCCACTCAATCAAGGGCCTAGTCTAAATATAAATTGCGACTTGTACATGACTTCATAACAATGGATAAACGGTTTTAATACCAATTTTCAATATCGACTACTATGTACCAAAAATATTTAGAAATTTCACGTTGTATACATGATATTAATCAAGTATTAAGTACTGAATAAATATTGGAAATTAATCAAAGTGAAAAACTTATGGCTATATCCAGTTAAAAATAGCTTCATTTATTTTCTTATTACAATATTGAATGTGAAATAGGACTCAATTTCTTTTAAGTGATGCGATCAAAATGGGACCACATGATATATTTGGAGAACTGTATATTAAACTACCCTATAAGCTGCAATGACGAACATCTATCTATTCACCTCTCCACAAGCGAGAGGGTATTAAAGTCACGTGAGGATTAGTTCAGAATGCGCAATGAAGACTTCAGACATTGTTCGAAATTTTTTTATTCAATTCGCTTCCAATAGATTATTTTTACAATCCTTCAAAGTTAAAAATCAAAGTCGTCTGTCTGTGACGCCACGGAAACACAAACGATATCTTAGTGTTATTAAGTTGCATATTTGTATTCATTTATGCTTTACTCTATTTTCACGTTCAATCCAGTACGTGTTTGTTGTATCAAGCGGTCTACCTTATAATTACTGGCGGATTAAGAATACTAATAGGGCCACGTGAGAATTTGTTGCCGGCGAGATTAAGAAACTCAGTGTAATTTACTTCTCCTCCCTCCTAACTTTGTTTTGTCTATTCTATCTTTGTGTCGTATTTTCCTTCCATGGTATTACTACCATGGTATTACTGTAAGGAGTTATGTATTGTACGACTGATACTTAGCCATTAATTATTTAGTTTTTTTTTACTTTTTATTGAAAGTCACGATGTTTTACTACCGTAATATTCAACAATTTTTTGTGAAATTACTCCACTAGTTTGTTATAATTATTATAACGAAGATCGAAATAGTAAAAAAATTCATTCGAATAATTATTTCTTTATTCAGAACAATACTTAATATGTTACACATTTGGTATTTCGACATATACGAATTGTGCAAATGCACCATGTTGAATTTTTTATGTTGTTTTTCTTACAAAGATTCTTTATGATTCTAAAAAAATAAACCTTGTTTTTTTTTCTTGTAAGGGTTTCCTTTCTTTCCATTAAACAAGGGTAACCTAACGATTATGTCCTGCTCCTCATATAAAATTTCTCATTTTACTTATTTGGTTAACGTTACATATAGTTATTACAAATAATAATACTTTTATTAAAACTGGCAGTAGCAGTTCCTTCTCATTTGAGAGATATAGCTGTCATAGCTGTGGGAAGCCTGTGGGAGCATCTACTTATGACTTTAATTTCTAAGTTATGTACATACATTTGTGAATCTTTATTGCAATAGCTATCGTTCTCGGTAAAGAAAAAAATCGTGGTAAAACCTACATGGTGAAGGTTTACAACCACCTACCACATAAATTTCTTCCGTGTTTACAACCCTTAGGAAACGTGTGCTGTTGTCAATGCCCATTGGGTCAGCCTAGCGGATTTTGGCCTAAATGAGGCAGATTAGTGATGTCCTAATGTGAATCCGATTCGATTTTTTTATCAATCGATTTTATTAATGAAGAAGTTTTAATTGTGAATGTAAGCGGGTCCAAAAACGAACAAAAATGTCTGATTGGGATCGAGATGTTCCATTTGACAATTTGTGTACTCAAGAATTAATAATTAATGTTAATGAGGATTCAAGTGATGATTCCCGTTCATATGGAGAAGAATCAGTCGATTCATTGTAATAAACAATAAGAATTTATAATGATTACTTATAATTTATTTAATTTCATTATAATTTATTACACAGGTTCTAAAATTTATCAACTTCAATAGTCTCCGTTACATAATCTGTTGGCTCGATAAATATCGGAGCTAAAGAACACGTCGCTTCACTATAATTGGCGCAAATAACGCAATAAATGGTTGGACGGAGTATAGTAGTAAAATGTATAAGGGTGCGCTCCCATTATGTCGTGACGACAGATAGTAGTGCAGTTCAAAGTGTCGTGGCTTGTATATTTAAATGAAGTTGTTCACACATAGAACAACACGATTTACTGTCGTTCACGACTTTTTGACTTTACGACGACAGAATGGCATGACAATGGGAAGAGCTAGAACGACAGTCATCCGACGATAAATAGAACGTCACGATAAAAATGTAACGACAGATAATCGCAGCTTCAAACGATTCTGTCATGCAAATCTGTTGGGAACCGCTAGACACGACAGTCGTTCAACGATAAAATAAACGTTCACGACACAGTCACGACAGATAGTCGTGATATGGGAACAGTTGTCCAACGGTAAATAAAATTTTACGACATAATGGGAACGCGCCCTTACGGATTCATATTTCTAGTATTTGGCTATGGTACGATCAAATAATAAACGTTCCAACGTTCTCATATTTTACGGAATGTGCCAGGCTAAAATAATATTTAACAAAGTAAAACACAATGCGGGTTGTACCACACCCATTGTAATGTAAAATAAGTCTCCCATGTCGTGAGGGGACAAAAGGCCGTAACCTAGCAGATCAGTAAACGTGATTCGTTATTGAATTATTCATGTAGAATAGTAGAAAACAAATCTTTAGAAAAAATTCGAGTGTTTCACAGATATTATTCATTCATATTATGTAATGGTAAGTATTTATGGTTCCATGTAGTTTTGTTGTGAGATTTAAGAAAAATAAATGTTTTGCTGAAAGAGGTTTATTGCATATTTTTATAGCGAGGACTATTTATTTAATAGAAAAATAAAATAGTCGTCGCGATGGTGTAGTAAAGGCTAGAAAATTTTTAATTTACACTTTTACGGTTACATGTGTGGTGTATAGAAAATAAAGGTACGCTGCGGCTCGCCCACTCCCGCCATTACTACACTAGATATTGTGTATTATTGAGCTATCCCTATACTGTTATGGACAGGCGTGTAGCTTACCATGAGGCGCACGACTTGGTCGTCCCGTCACTTGATATTATAAAAAAAGTAGTGTCGTCACATTGTGAAAATATTTTATTTACACGCTTAAAATCTTCATTCAATTAGCTCTCTGTCCATATTATGTTATTGTTATAGCTTCAGCAGTTATCGAGTTAAAAAATATTTTAAACGTAGCTGACATAGCGACGGCTTCTTTTTAACTGTCTTCAAAACAAGGAGGACGTTCTCGATTCGAGTGTATGTCGTTTTGTTTTTTTGTATGTATGTGTATGTATGTTACTCGATAACTCATTAACGGCATTTGTCAACCTATTTTGTTGAAAAGAGGGTACCTTAGTAGTTGCCCCATTTAAATCTGAAGAAAATATTCCGCCTCCAAGAGTGGCAAATTAGGGGATGAATGTGGTTTCGCGCACTTTCCGGTAATCAGTTTCAATAAATCTTGGCAAATAGATGTAATTACACGAACTTTTGAGGTAGATTTTTTAGTGCTCTGTATTGAGATTATTCTTTTATCTTTTCTTGCGCATCGTTTTGAATGGTAGATCGTGGAAAAAGGTACGTGTACAAGTGGTCGCTACAATTCGGTCGGACCGAGATTTTATCATCTAAGTAAATACTTATTGCTTACATAGTTGGAATCATAAGAAACGATAATAAAGATTGTGATTGTCTTATTGAAGTACTCTGCGGTTAAAATTAACGGGATTAATTTTAGAGACGAAATAAAAGATCGAACTATAGTTCTATTCTCTAGTAGTTCGTTGGTAATCGAATGTTTAGGCAGCTTCGTATGCAATATTCTTTAGTCTCATAGTTTCCAAAGATCTTAGCGTGACCTGGTATAGTTATTATCTGCGGCGTGACTACATTTAACGTCTATTTATATTGTTCTTTATAGCCACAAGTTACAAAAATGTCCAAGTCAACTCCGTGAAATCCTCAATTTTACGGCCAATGTTGTGAAATAACAGCTTTCTTGTCTTGCGAAGTCATAAATTTTACGAAGGTCGAAATAGGCCATTTATAGTTTTTTATTGGTTGAATAATTCGAACGCTACACTCGTAAAGATTCAATACGAATTTATTATACGATATTTTTCCTTTTCCTAAATTTAAGTATTATGTTTAACTGCGCGAAGTTGGTAAGTGTTATGTAGGATATGATTTTCGTCTTTGAATTTTCCATCCAATACTATTTAGTAGCAATTCCATGAATGCCATTTTCCATTATTTTTCACGAGAAAGGTGTTTCAGGCTGGTGTTCGCAACTCGACTTCATGATGCGTATTTTGCGTGTGGTGGACAGGGTCCTACTCGTGCCACCCAAGCTCCTTCAGGAATCTTAGCATCCTCCTGGGTTTGCTGAAGAAAGTTTGCTTTTTTTGAAAGCAAACTCCTTGTGAAAGAGGTTGTCCAGCTTTGTCCAGCGAGCTCCTTGTGAAAGAGTTTGTCCAGGGTAGTACTGCCACCTTACCTAATTCTGCCATCAAGCAGTAATGTCATCATTATTGTGTTCCGGTTTTGAGGGGTAAGTGTGCTGGTGAAATTACAGGCACATGGGACT